ATCCCATAGCGAGACACCGAGTGAATATTATGAAAAAGAAATATAGTTATTGCACTGAGTGTCATATATAGATAAACAGGTTATTACACAGGGTATCAAATGGAAATTGCACATTGTACATTGCACATGTTATTGCCGTTGTAGAGTCGCATTGTAAAGTCTGCTTGCAATCATGTTACTTCTTTTGTCAGTAAGCTGTAGGTAAACCTTAACATATTTTCCTCATTATTTTGTAATTGATATATTACAAATTCATATAATTTAAATTTAAATTTTTATTTTTGATATTTATCCAACTAGTTACCAAAAAATGTAAAAAATTCTTGACATTTTTATTTCATTTCCCTGAAGTTTTTTTTTTTTTGCCTGCTGCTCATCAGTGTGTGGCCATCGCTCTCTCTCTGCTTTCCTCTATACCTCCAATCTGATTAGTGGTGGTTGTGTGGTGGCATGGCAACCATTTTCACCATTTGGGAACCATAACGGCTCCCTGTTTGAAGATGAGACCCCTGTACTTGTGGTTTCATCAGAGGAAACTTTTCTGAGGGTTAGGGGGCTTCTCTCTATCCCAGTGCTGTCACTCTGAAACATTGGACCCCAGATCCCCCCTCCCTACTCACACTCCTACCCCAGTTGTGGTGAGGGGCAAACAGTAGTTGCATCGTCCTTCATCTCAGTGGCTCGTGGTAGTGCCGGCAGCTCGTGCTCAGATGGGGCCCCTCCGGCCGGCCCCTGCCTTGTAATCAGGCAACCAGAGCACTCAAGTGGCCGCAGGGCTTACTCACGTGACCCGGTCTCCGCTAACCACAAGCACTTCATCTGATACTTTGTGGCGAGCCATGCGGAGGGGACAGCGTGCGCCTCTGTGAACCTCATTGGCTGGAAATTCTCTGTTTTTCTCTGCATTTGGCCCTCCCTCCTTCTCTTTGATTCGGCTGTGTTAAAGGGGAAGGGGGAAGTTTTAGTTGCACCAAGCTGTCTTTCAGTTTGTGTTCATAAGAGAGAGAGGAAAGAAGAGGTCCTGAGCTCAGACCCAAACGGCTTGAAGGTGTGTGAGTCTAACTTTGTGTTTTTACAGCCTGTTGAGCTGGCATTGTTTGCTTTTTTAGAGGCCAAATATTTAAAAATGTTGTAATGTTTTTTGTTTTTGTTGAAAAGATCAAACTAGAAGATTTTAATTTCTTCATGAATGCCTTCATTTGAGCAGAAATTCTAACAAAATCTGACTGATATCTCTCTCTTGCTATGTTTTAAAACTACTTCAACTTTTTTATGTGAAAGAAATAAAGAATATTAAATCCTGTCCTGCAGGAGATCCCTCTGTCAGAGATTCTCCAGGTGGAGCCGTTCAGAGACTACAGTAATCTTGCACAGGGCAGCAACCCGCACTGCTTTGAGATCATCACCTCCACCATGGTCTACTATGTAGGGGAAAACAACGGCAGCCACTACCACAGCCCTGCACTAGCTGCCTCTGGAGTGGGTGTGGAGGTGGCCCAGGGCTGGGAGAAGGCCATCAGACAGGCCCTGATGCCCGTCACCCCTCAGCCGAGTGTGGCCAGCGCAGCCGGCCAGGGAAGAGATCACAGTAAGGAGAATTTAATGTTTTGCACGCTGATCTTTGCTTACTGCCCACTCTGAAGTTTTCGGTTTCAGCAGCTTGCAGGATTTTTTTTTTTTTTTTTTTTTTTTTTGCTATCTCACCATTGCTCTGTGTCAAATTAATAATGTTACTCACGTTATGTGTGTTGAAACTCTGAGGGAAAACCCTGCTGTGCTTCTGTGTTTAGTTCAAAGGAAGCAAGACTGTGAAGTCATTGTTTGGAGATAAAACTGTTTAAAAGCAGAGTCACATGACCAAATGGAAACAGAACTTTTTAAAGAATCAAAGCAATCGATGTCCATTTTATTTGATTTTTACTTTTATTGTTACAAATAATCTTATTTTGATATCCAACTGAACTTCAGGAGAAAGGATAAATAAAGGATAAAAAAGTGCAAATAGATAAAAGGCACTGCAATGCATTCAGCAAAGTATGAATCTATCAAATAAAAGCAGTGACTCTGTCATTTTTATCTGAAGAACTTTTATAAGGTTTTGAGGGAAGCAAAATGCAAACTCTTGTTTCTGTGTTTGAATAATTTATAGGATACCAGAACTGCAGTTATTTATAAATGAACATAATATACCAGTGAAACGTCAGATTTATTTACATGCTGTGATGAATTTCACTGCTCGAGGAATAATAGTGCCGCACATCTGAGAGGAGCAAGCAGGAGCGTTTTTATAAGTGATTGTACAGCATTGAGGTCGATGCAACAATGAAAACATAATGAACTCTATTTTTGAGTTTTTTTTAAAGCCAGTTTTTGAGATTTTACTTGAATAAGATTGCTAGGAATTAAAGAATTAAGATATTTGCAAGAGGCACATTTAATGACCTCTTTTGTTTAATAAAGTTTTTTATTATAGTTGTTGTTTATTTTGTTTTTCTCTTTGTCATTTAAGAACTTTTTGTGATTTTGAACCATTGCAGTTAATTTCTGTCCTGGATTTTCTTGTGGTACAAATTGGTATATAGGTCGTCTATTTAACCTATAACACCATCTACTAATTCTTAACTGCCCTTTTTCTACCCAACATATCATACGAAGAATTAGGTATTTTTTATGTTTCAAGGGACTTGTTTTTATGACTCAATTACATAATGTGCATTTGCCAGCAGGAAAACTATCTATTATTTTGCGTTATTAATTGGGTCAAAAAAGCTTCAGAATCAACACAAGAACTGATTAAATAAATTATAATTGAAGATATGTGATATGTGAGCATTTTATGATAATTTGCTTCCGTATTCCTACTATTATTTAATTTGCAAAAAGTGAAAACAGATAAAAGACACTGCAATGCAAAAGTGTATGAACACACACACATATACATATATATATATATATATATATATATATATATATATATATATATATA